GTGCCTACAAGCACAGGCCGCGGGCACGCACTTTAATTGACTGATGGGCTTGATCTGAATTGGTAAGATGTTGCCTATTATTGAGACTGTTGTTGTTGGCATTAACAGGATCACTAAAAGCTAAATCTGATGAATAACAAAGTTTGGAAGATCTGATGAAATTGGTATTAAGTAGTGAAGATTTCCTTTGAGTGGTTGAAGAAGTAGATTGTCGACGAGTAGACTGAGAAGAACTTGATTGTGGACGATCAGAAAGAGGAGATGAACGAGTCGACTGATTTAATAAAGCAGATGGCTGTTGAGGAGAGAGCTGAGAGATAGGAATGGAAGATTGATGAGTCTGAGCTTGAGCTTGATGTTGATGATGTTGGTGATGTTGGTGCTGATGTTGCTGATGATGTTGGTGCTGATGTTGATGCTGATGTTGAAGTGAGAAAGGATGAAGTTCAGAATGTCGATGATGTTGATGATGTTGATGATGATGATGATGAGCAGAAATACTCAGATTCGGATCTGAAGGTCTATTAGAGAGTAGAATTGATTTAGGTTCATGTTTGATTGGTTGATGTGATGACATTGATTCAGTCTTTGATCTCCTTTTTCGACTTGAAGGACTCCTGATGAGGTTAAACATCCTTTTGAGATATCTAAGTAATCAACTTGAAGTATTATGGTGATATGTTTTTGTTTTTGATTCCTTTGAATTAGGCAAGTTTTAAGTTTGGAAGGTGATTTCCTTTTTGTTTGTTTGAAGTGGATCGATTGATGGTTTGATTTGTTTGATGTTTGATGATCTTGAGTTTACCGAATCCGGTCGGAAGTCGATCAGATCGTTCTGAAACTCACTCAAAATCAAAATATGAGTCTTGAGTCTTGATAGCCTTTGAATGGAAATCCCAAGAATCTTCAATGAAAAGATGAATGAGTTTTGGATTATCTTTTGACACTGAACATCAAAGGAAAGAAAAGAAAAGATAAGTCAACCAACCAGTTGATGATGATGATGATGACGTATCGATTGGATTGGATTGATTGAACTCAATGTGAACTTCTGTCTGTTCAGTCACCAGCCGTGTTGGCAGAAGGGGCTCAAGTTAAGCTTGTTCTGTCTTCTTTCTTCAACTTGTTAAAACTCTCATCATACCAATTTCTATTAAATATTTATACGTAATTCGGTTCAATTCCGTTCAGAAATTGTGTCTGTACAGTTTCTTTCTGCTGAAACCTCTCGACCATTTTTGACAGTTTTGGGGATCTATCGCGTTTTATGTTGTGGAATTATCTATACGCTCACCAGGTTTATGATAAGTATGTTTTTTCATCTTCTCTGTGTGATCATCAAAAAGTGTTGATTTGGTTCTGATTTTCCTCATGCTTTGGAAAACTCTATTAACGTGACCAAACTTAATTTTACATCTCCGCTTCCCTCCGTTTTTCACAATACGGCTGACAGAATCGCCAGATCTTGTAGGGTTTGTAGATGCCTCCATGATGTCACCTCCTTCCTGGAGTGGCGTGATGTATATGTACCGACTCCGAGTCGTGTTGTAGGATGATATCATTGGCAAAAGTGATCAATTGCATGATGTGAAGCGCACTTGGATCATTTGGCAATGTGTTTCATTTACAAAATGTACAATATTTTGAGACAGGAGTGGTTCAAATCATGACTCTAAAATTCTTGATCAAACAAATCCTCTACTATCAAACTTCTTTTCTCGCTTTAACATAACTGAATGTATGGGTTTTAAAGACTGAAAGATGTATTGAAAAATAAAAAATTATAGTCAAAAAGATCAAAGGAGCTATTATCTGGAGCATTTAGTTTTCGGTAAAATGAAAATAATGACAAGTTGAACTCTTTTCACCCAACCATTTGGTAAATGATGACACGTTCTCTTTGATATTCCACATGAAGAAGTCTGAGTATGTATCACCCAAGTTCAACGCGTCTTTCCTGACCTGAGCAACATATGAAAAAAACCGCCTAAACATACTAGTGTTTCCTCTTATATTTCCATACTCCTTTACCTGAAGTAGCATTCTAGCTCCTGTAACCAAAGACTACCTCCTAAATCACTTACCAAGTTCTTCATCATATTTTGACACGTCATTGACTCCTTAATTATGGATGAGAGTTGAACATGACTTCATAAAAGTTTTAAAGGTGTCGAATTATCAGTCTACGTAAGCCAAGCCTTGTAAAAATGACACGCTTGGAGAAAAATGACATCGACCCCTTCTTCGGCGCAAAAAAAAAGTTGAAAGGGGCTCGATGTTGAGCTTTGTTGACTCGAGTGTGATTGATGATGATGATAAGATTAATGGGAAAGAAATCGGATATGTTTGAGTTGGAATATTCAGGACACATGCATAAACGAGCCAGAAAGAAAACTTCAAAAGCAGACAAACCTTCAAAGAACAAAAATCGATTTCAAACATCTTTGTGATTGATTGAAAGTGAACCAAGAGCTTCATTGATCAATCTCAACCCAAGAGAATATCCCGGTAGATTCGTAAACGACGTTCCAGAAACGAGATTCATAGAGTCAACAGGATAGTGAGATCTAGGTCTTGATGTCCTCAAGCGTGGATGAGGTGGAACTTTAAGAAGATTATTGTCTGATCCTGGCTTCCGATTTGATTCTCTTGAGGCAGATGTATTGGTATTGAAACTTTCATCCAACGGCGCAGTGATAATGATAAGTGGTAAGAGAGGTTTCCTAGTAGAGATGACCGGTGGAGGTAAGGTATCAAGTTCTATCAAATAATTGTTGGTAGTCGTCATAGGAGTACTACTACCAATGAAATATGTGATAGCCAAAAACATCAAACCTATCAAAATGACAAATAAAATTGTCTTGGGTAATTGTTGAAAGTAATTTCTAATGAATCCTTTAAAATCTTCACCAACAGGAAACTCAAAGAATAACCGAAGGAAATAAACCATCACTAAATTTAACATTATTGTTAGAGTCATCAAGATAGTAAAGAAGTGAATGTAGAGTGACATTGATTCACAAGAAAGACAAGATCTTGATTGATTTGAACGCATTTTGAAGGAAGGTGTTGTTCTTCAGAATCAACAGGTCAGATAGGTCGTTTGGTTGACGATTTTGTGATCAAAGATAGATGAGATAAGACGGATTAACAGCTGAGTCAATCAAACAAGATTTTGTGATTTCTTTTCACTCAGCTCCTTAGCATATTACTTACTTACTGAGAGATCAAATGCTTATGAGAATATGCTGCTTAATGATTTAATCAAAATAAGTAATAGTAAGTAAGACTATTTGTATAAATTCCTCAATAAGTTATTCAGATTGCTCTTCAAATTCAATCGTGTTGAGCCGTCTAAGGTCTAGATCATTCGTCTGAATAACTTGAACATTTTGGTAATTTGAGTCAGGAAGTAAAGGATCATGAGGTTCCTAGAGGTACTATACATACTTGATCACTCAATCATATTGTACAATCATGATTTCAGGAATGATACGCATATAGTTCATCACAACCTCATCAGTTTATCACTGTGTCTAGACTGGCGAAGTAAGACGCCGTCGACTTAAGGAATACTGGTAGGTCTATGGGCTTTCATGAGCGAAGTCACGAAGATTGCTACACGCTCTGAGTCTGGCCCAGATTCGAGGATTGCAAAGTGTGACGCGTCGGCGTATCATGGACCTGCTCCAGAAGATTAAGCATTGCAATCCTCTTTTACACTCTGAGTACTGCTTGAATGAGCCTTCAACAACTTTGAAAGCCTTCAACAACTTTGAAATATCTTTACGGCAGAATCGCAGCCATTCAAGGCTTTGATTTGAGCCTGTGATTGGAAACGTATCACAAGGATAGCCTCATGTTAAGCGTAACAGCGCCTCATCGGATTCAAGCGCGTTCTCCTGATCAGGAGCGTAGCCGTATCCCTCTCTTTGTGAGAGTAGAGACCCTGTGAGAGGTTTTGTGAGAGGTCGTTTGTATTTTTATTTTTTGTGTACAGCCGTTGTTCAGTCAAGACCTGTACTTGGCTGGGAGTGGCTGGTGGCTAAAGAAGATTCGAGAAAAGAGATACAGAGCAATACTTGTGCGGTTTGTACAAGCCAGTCTCTGTAAAATGAGAAATTTGGACTTGGATAAGCTTAGTAGCTCAGCTTATCTTTCCAACCCCGTCACTTTCCAAAGTTTTATCACGAGATGTGGGAGTTGAAAAAATACCCAATCCTACGACCAATACTTCCTCAGCCAACCCCCGGAATTCAGACTGGATTTGGTTGTCCAATCTGCCCGCGCAATGAGAAACACCCGTTGGAATACGTTAATGTTCACCGCTCAAATAATAATGAACTGATTGGCTTAAGAGTGCGTAAAGTTTCGTCTATTGCAAATAGTTCTTTCAGGTGTATTGATTGAGACTTTGATGGTTGATGATTGTGGTAATCTAGTGCTCGACATTCAAAAATGCTTCACATTTCTTTCAGACACCTTATAAAAAGCACATCCTGGCCCAAGTTCAACTTCATAACGAAAAAGCCAAGAACCCAGCCTCTCTTTCCAACTTGCTAAACTCGGAAGCCGACTCCCAATTGCACACAGACGAAGAATCTAGTTTGGGTAAATGCAAAGGGGTCAATGGTCTTTATGCATCTGGGCATCGTGAGACTTGCCTGAAGCGATGTCCAAATAAGCTATGTCAACAAGTAAGTAGGTTATTATACATCCTATCTTCTCAAAACTTAACTGACAATGATGTATATGAAGTGCTGCCGTCATAGAGCAGTACAGGTTTGTCCACATCATCGAAATCGCGGTTCTGAAGCTCTCAAACCACCCACCCCATCGAACCCAACTTCATCATCAGCGTTCCAAAGCACTGCATCCGATAGGCTATTGGCACCATTGCCAACACGCCGGGCAGTAAACCGTCCCACTCAGTGTGCTCAAGCTGATAGAGCAATTCTCAAAGATCTATCTCAGGATGCTCTTGTCCACTATAACATTGAAAGACGTCGTACTCAGAATGAAAAAGATGGGATATGTACAAAGAACTTGAAGCTCCGAGTTTGGCTGAAGGTGTGTTTGGGACTTTTTGAAATCAATTTGCTGAAGTTGAACTTTCGCAACTTTTCTAATAGGCAGGTGATGGGTTTGTGATTGGGGCTCAGGCCACCGACTTCCCTCAATTTGCTCTGATTGAAAGCAAACCCTTACGCGACTCAGCACTCAACGAGCTTAAAGACCGATGGGATACTCAATTGGAAATATTTCAGGAAGACTCTATGGAATGGCTGTGTTGACTTTGAAACACGATCCTCAATATCTCACCTTACTGATCCTGTTCGGCTCTTAGATTTTGAGTGATGCGAGTTTAAGCTACACATACAGACGTTCAACAACCGATTTATTAGTTAAAGTATCTGGATTACAAGAGATTGATTGTATTGGACTTGAAAAAGAACTTCAAAAGATCAAACAAGCACACTCATTGAAACCGCCCATCCGCACTCAAGCTTCCTCACTCGATCTCAGCTCTTATCTTTCAATGGATGGGCCAATGGGTGTATGGGGTCACGAAAAAATGACAACTGGCACTTCAAGTGACGAGTCGGACAGTTCAGAAATTGAGGTGGTGTCATCAAACGTTCACCGTAAACGAAAGCTTACCAATCAGACTGAAACAGTGTCTTCTCAAAAGAAGCCTTGTCTCAATACTCGAACTTGGCCTGGCAAGACATGCAAGCTATCCGAGCTCATTCTTTGGTGTGATAAGGCACCAAAAGGCTGTTCTTCAAGAGTTCCAAAGACCACCTGGCTCGAAATATTTGGTGACCGATTCGATCCTGATAAAGAATTTAAAACCCCTTATCGATATCGAACTTGGGTTTTAAAGAAGAAATCCGACCTTGTTGAGTGGATGACAGATAGGCCGAATGCTACAATTGATGAAGCTAAGAACAAGTTCATAAAATCCTTTCGCGAAGTCGCATCTCTTCGCAAAGGTACTTGTGCCAACCCGGTTGTTGTAGAATGAGATTCCCGTCTTGATGTGGGCCTCTTCTTTTAGAAAAAGTACAGTTCATTATTAGCAATACTTCAATTTGTTTCTTGTCAACTAGAATATCATTGCATAGATATGAACACAAATCATTATACCATCTTGCTATCATTGAAATATCAGAGTTTCCATGACTAAAAGGTTCTCGAGCTTGAGACTTCAAGCTGAAGATCACTAAGTCAATAGTTAGATCCTTGTGCCACTTAAACCATAGTCCTAGATCAATTGCTCTTATGATTGAGATCGTTCAAAAACAGGTTGATCGACACATTCTCACATATAAGTCAATTATAATTGATCATTGTTGAGTCAAGATAATTAACATTTGACTTTGATTAAAATACTTCAAATCTCAGGAGTTTCTTAATTTGTTTTGCGTCCAAAAAAAATCACGTGTTTGTTGTCACAATCAAACAGCCTAGAACAACTAAAACATCCACCCCTTTGTTATAAAACTTACATCGGCTCGTGCTTTTAGCTTTTTCTCCAACCATCCATTTCGTAATCTGACCATCTCCTCCAAAAAAAAGTTATATCGAATAGCATTCATGCCCCTGCAAATGGATGCAAAAGCACCATACCAAATGTTTGTCAGTTCGGCAGCAGATGAATTAAACATCCACTTGCCACCTTTTTTTAGGTCTGGTATCTTGTTTGGATCGGTAAACTCTTGGCAGAATTGATCAGACTCTTTATGTGAGCACATGTGGAAAACATCAACTGGAATGACAACATCTTTGAATGCTTCTGCATCCTTGGGATTACTCCAAATGTGATGGACCAAATTGCATGCATTATCGTAGAAAATGAGGTTGGGGAGCCGTTCCGGGAAAGAGTCCAGTATGAATTGCTGTGATATATATTGATGTCAGCTAGAATCACATCAATTTCTAAGTGTATCACTGACCTTCACAGCACTGGGAGCTTCTGCTCGAAAGAAAGTAGACCGTGCCAAGATGATACCGCAGGTACTCACAATCAGCTGATCATTGTGAGTTCAACAGCGTGACATACAGGGTTTGCGGCCCTTATTATGATTGGTCTGATTTCCAATGTATTGAGGATTGTTGTCAATATCTTGTCCTCCATATCTTCCAGCTTCATGTGCTCGATCAAATTCATCAACATCAACAAGTGTTGATTCATCTAACTCTGCTGTCCAACAATTCTGATGGACCGATGGGTCTGTTGGTAGTTTGGCTCCAGGGCGCGATAGCTTTGATGCCATGGTAAAATTTTGACGCTTGCGGTGGTGAAACTGATTTGAGATAGCAATATGTTCAGAATCATTGCAGGTGTCATAGTCAGGTCGACGTGGCCTTATACAAGGCTGGACTACGCATTGATCCTTCAAGATACGTTGATGGGTTTCACATAATCTATCATGAATGCTTGTCAATGGATTGAGACAAGGGCCATCGGGCATTGGAGAGTTTGATAATTCGGCTATTTTCTTTAATTGATCACTTGAAGCACTACAGCACCAATGTCCAATAGTGACCCCATCAGTAACACAAGCACGGATTGCTATATTAACACAAAAGACAAGGTTTTAACATGTCAGAAAACCAATCAAGATAAAGAGCAGGATAATATTGGTACCTTTATTTTCATCGGAGACATATAGACATTTGTCACACGTGTGGTCTCTATACTCAGTACCAGATTTGGACCAATATTCAAGTTGTTCTTTCATTGCTTTTAAATATCTTGAAGAGTCGAGGCCAGTGTTTGGGACAGTAAGGACAGCACCTCGGAGATCAAAGTGATACAATAGGCGGTGAATATCCAGTGCATCACTGCAGACTTTGTGTGACATCAATGCTCCAAAGGATTGTTCTTCTTTGAATTTGATTGATTCATCACTTGGATTCTGCTTGTTATACAAGTTAACAAGGTTGAATATTGAGACACTAGGCATGAATTAGACAAGAGTGAGTTTCTCCTCATAGATAATAGATATATACCAAAGACAAACCATCAAATGCTTACTGGGCCAACATCTGCATAAAGGAGAAATACTCAGCGAGTTCCCTAGTCATAAAGTAGTGTTGATGCACTTGAAAAATCTCTGGATCTTGTCCTTGTGCTTTGGTGTAAAAATATCGAGTACCCTTGCGTGAATAGTATGAAGGACGAAATGCAGTAGAACAGCCTATGAAGTAAGTATCCTCATTAGTGCTTTGAATTTCTCATACGCAAGACAAAAATATGAATCACCTTCACAATACAGACATACAATTCTTATGGTTTGTATCCCATCAAGACAATAAAGATAGCCGTTGATGATGTTGTTTTCCTTGACAGGAATATGTTTAAGATGATTTGGATCACAGAACGGGCAATGCTTGACCGGTGGATAGATAAAACAAGTTGGAATTTGAGGATCAAAAATTAAACCAACCTTCCTCACCACTTCAGGTGGGCTGACTAGACATCTTTCCAGAAAAGGGAATGTATATACCCATAGGTGGGAAAGAGCTGGTCGTGGTATTATCTGCTTGAGTGCTTCAAAGAGGTATTCTACGTGAGAATAAGTTTCCAATAAATCTAAACCACGGCCAGCACGTTGAAGTAAATCACCCCCAAGATGACAAAAGCGAACAAGATCTTCTATTTGAAGGTTATTATATATGTCAGGGATGGTCTTAAGCTTTCTAACAAAGTCCTTGATGAACATGGTGATGCCTAGGCAAGATAAATGTATGGCGCGTGGGATGTCTTCCAAACAATGGCAGACTTTTTATCTTGTGAATATCACTTGCACAGTTGTGTCGAGTTTCATATTTACAAATCCGACATGCTGGATTTCTATCTTACATGTCTCACATCCCATCACTCGGATTTCCAATTATCAGGTTTCAATCTTGGGATACGCGCCTGTTGATTAGCATGATGGCTCTCTTATGTGTCTCTCCATATCGCTCACTAATCATTCAAACTATTATTTAGACATTCATTTGAAATCAATCACCAAGATTATTAGTTCAAGGTGCTAAAGCTAAAGTAATAAGAAAACAATTCAAGTAAAACAGAAAAAGTGTTCAATTGAATTTTTGAAAGGACGTGGTCAAACTCAGCTGCTTGAAAAGATTTCCTACGCGTACTGAAGTACTGAAAGGAAAACGATTCAAGTAGCATGCAAAAAAAAGTGATCATTATATTTTTGAAAGAAGGAGGTGATGCAAGTGAGCTGCTTGAAAAGATTTCCTACGCGTACTGAAGTACTGAAAGGAAAACGATCCAAGTAGCATGCAAACGAAAAAAGCGAGTATCAGATTTTTGACACGTAAGGAATTGATGTGAGACAAGATTACGAATGATTATACTCGGTGGGACAATGAGATGCTGAGCGTTTATATAAAAAATAAAGATGATGAAGATACAATTCCAAATGAAGTGCTTTTGCATGGCTAGGCTAACTGATAAAAAAATTGATTCATTAGTATCGGGCTGAAACAAGGGCCCAGGAGATTAAATGTCCTGTGCTCCGTGAGATCCCTGAGGAAAAGATACTCCTGCCATTTTCCACCATCTGTTTAAGGGCCCAGGAGATCATACAACTCTGCGCATGATCAGAGCTTTCATTTGGATTTGACCAGGGACAATGTTCTCTGGACTCATCGTCTATCCTGGAATCAGATTGGATTGATAGAGACCAGCGATTCACTAATACAGATGGCTTGGTACAGAAATCTAGAGAAATCTTCTCGAATCGAGCGAGATCGAGCAAAAAAAAGAAAACCACAAAGCGCCACTGGAAAAAAATTAAACAAAAACTGTACGTCTCATCAGCCCACTCAGGTCCTCTCACAGAAGGGGGGATACGGCTACCTACCTTCCTGATCGGATGTCAATTGGGTGCTTGTACACCACAGGGGTGTTTTGCCCGCCTGCAGGCGGTCCATCCAGGCCACCTGGAGACGGTCTGCCCTTCTGCAAAGGTAGGCGGTCTCCAGGTGGCCCTCACGCGCGACGTCTGGCAGGCACCTGCTGGGCTCGCCGGTAGGCTGGCTTGCTTGCGCCCGCTGGCGGGCTGTGATCTGCCTTCCGTCCATCAAAAAAGCAGATGTACACAGTATGTACATTAAGGACAGAACCATGTCGTAGTCCTCAAGCAGATACTTCAGAATTTCCATGAAGGATTTGTTACTTTGTATAATTATATACAAAAACAAGCGACTCCGAGTTCAAACCTGAGCCAGGATCATCACGAAAGACACCAATCATATCGTGATATTGGTTTCACGAGTGATTAGCGACTCTTGATGTCCTCCAGACTCAAACTTGACAATGATATCACGTAAAAACTACACTTGGCAACCTTCTTTCCAGGTCATTGATCGTTTTTTTTGCAAAGGTTTGACAAAATTAGCAGGCAGACAGGCCGCCACCGCGTATTTGGTCTGACGATGGCCCAGAGGCCGACTACGGCCTCGATTTCTCTTGTCCATCTTCAGGCGGTCAGTGGGCCGCCGATCGATGGCCTGCCAGCCGGTCTACAGGTGGCCCTCAGGAATGACCATTCTCAGACTAAGAAAGGCCATTTCTAGACTCAAAGCCCCTCCGTGGTGTAATGAGGAGTGTGATCCGGCACATCAAGTTGATCCGTCGGTACAGATGCATCGGGTAATGATTTTGTATGCGATCGAAAATCAAATTCATCGAGTTCACTTCAACTACTCATCGCTTTGGAAAGACTGCTTCTGATCACCAAACTCTTTACAATCTCAAGATCAATCTCACATCTTGTATCATGAGTGATGGTTAGTATTTTCAAATACCTCAAATTTCATTCAAGCTGGACCAACTCATGACTCTTGTTCTGTCATTTCAGTCAACGAGGTCGAAAACCTACTGGCTTCCCGTCTCTCAGCTCTCGACCCTAATGCAGCTGAGGAGAATACCTCCGTTCTGAACTCGATGGGTCTAAAACCAGAAGACACCAAACCCGACTCTAAGCCGAAAACTGGATTGCCCATCTCTCAACCCACTGCTTCGCCTGGTCTGTTTTCTGGCTAAAATTCAACGCGAAATTGTTTTGTTCTCATGACCATTAAATTATTTCGAATTTGATCAGAGTCACCAAAAGCAGAAAAATTTCCTCAAGATGATCCGGTAGCAGAAATCACTCAATCAAAAGGTGAGGAATTATGCTTGAAATCTTCATTTCAAGACTTTATTGACCTCTGGTCTTCTTTTCAGCCTCACAGCTCTTACAAAACCTATCACATCAAGTCGAGGTACGTCCGATCTGAATTTTAAAACCATCGTGATGGCAAGCGACCAATCACATGAAGACACTGTTTTAATCAACTGACTTGACTTTTATTGATCCGATTCTCTGAAGATCAAACTTGCGGACCAACAAGCTGATCCTAATTCACCACTCTATTCCGCTCAATCATTCGAAGATCTCAAATTGTAAGTTTGCATCAAATCCGCTTGGCCTTTTATGATCAAGATATATCTAATTTTCTTGATGACTTGGGTGATGTTCATGTTGATAGGAGGCCTGAACTGTTGAAAGGACTCTATCGAATGGGCTTTCAACGTCCTTCAAAGATTCAAGAGAGGGCCTTGCCATTACTACTTCAAGACCCGTAGGTCTCCTTCTTACCAAGATTCTACAACATCGTTCAGCATTACATTGATGTTTTGGGGCGTGGGGAGAAAGACCTCGTAATATGATTGGTCAATCTCAATCTGGTACAGGAAAGACTGCTGCGTTTGTCCTGACGATGCTATCACGAGTAGACCCGAGTAGGAAAGTCCCTCAAGCAATTTGTGTTTGTCCATCGCGTGAATTGGCGCGACAGATTTTGGATGTAGCAGATCAGATGGGTCAATATCTAGAAGGTGTGACCAAGTGTTTGGCTTCGAAAGATACCCTCGTAAGGGGTGAAAGGATCGAAGCCCAGGTCATTGTGGGGACACCTGGGACAATCAAGGATGTGAGTATTCCCTCTTCAAGTTGATTATTGCAAGTGTCTTTGATTTCAATCAAAGCTGATAAAACACATTGCGGCTTGTTTTGATTCGTTCAGGCTCTCACTACCCATAGAATCAGTGGGACAAGAGAACCAGTGATTGACCCAAGTGGGATCAAAGTCTTGGTAGCAGATGAAGCAGATGTATTGGTGGGTACTGGTTCACTAGGTGAACAGTGTATCGGGGTCAAAAAGTCTGCTCATTCCCTTTGAATCCTTATCAGTATAATCGTCATTTGACTGATGGATTCGTATCTCAGTGCGATCGGACGACAAAGTTCATCAGCTCAAATCATCCTTTTCTCAGCAACATTCCCAGATCATGTGAGGAAATATGCATCGAAATTTGCTCCTAATGCCAACGAGATTAAATTGAAGAAGGAAGAATTAACCCTAGAAGGCATTAAACAATTCTACATGGGTAAGTCAAGCCTTTCTGTTCTCGCACCGTCTCTTACATTCACGTACGAAATCAAGCTGACTTTGAAAATCGCATCAAGATTGTAACGATAGGGAACATAAGTACACAGTATTAGTAGAGCTCTATCAACTATTGACTATAGGTCAATCGATCATCTTTGCCCAAGAAAGACGAACGGCAGATGAGATTGCACGTAGGATGAATGCTGATGGTCACAAGGTTGCCGTACTACATGGAGCTCAAGTTGGAGAAGGAAGAGATCAGACAATTGATGACTTTAGAGAAGGTAGAAGTAAAGTATTGATTACCACCAATGTGGTTGCTAGAGGAATTGATATCTCTCAAGTTGTGAGTTGCAATTCTTGCTCTTGTTTTGGGATCGGAGGCTGATTCAGCCTCAAATTATGGTGATGGATAGAACTTGGTAGTTAATTACGATTTGCCAAGGGATCCGATGAAAGGAGGGGCCGATGCTGAAACTTACTTACATAGGATCGGTAGGACTGGAAGGTTTGGACGAAAAGGAATTTCGATTGTCAGTATACTGAACTCACTATCTATCTATTCAAGAGCTCTTTGGAACAAGATCTGATTGTTTGTTTTGGTTGGGGTTATGTTGTTAGAATTTTATTCATGATCAAAATAGTTATCAAGATATGATGAAGATTAAATCCGATTTAGAGATATCAGACGAACAGTTGGTGAAGGTAGACACTAAAGATTTTGATGATATGGAAAAAGTAAGTTATTCAATCACGCGTCACAAGATCAACTGTGTTGATTTTCTTGACGTGTTTCTACTTGATTTTTATAGACATTGAAAGCGGCCATCAAAGCATGAACTACGTATCATAAGTATGTGCATGGGATCATACTTGCTCAAATGCCAACACACTATGTATACATACCTTTTGTCTGTTTACGGTCGGCGAAAACCTCCAGAAGTGCTTGATTTATGTATGGGAAAGACTACTACTCACCATCGGAGGGATGAATTGCAGTGTAAACAGTGTAAACCATTTCTTTGAGCAGTTGGAAGGACACCCCGCGGCTTCTGGAGTAAGAGATGACTTGGTTGTTTATGATTTGCATTTGAATAAAAAGATAGCAGCTCAGTCAATTGAGTGTTTTTCCGTATAATCAACCTTTTAACAATCACTACCGCGTCGGATGTATGACCATCTCATGAAGCAACCATTACACACTGTGACCTTTTACATATCTTTGCGCTCAGACTTGAGTCTCAAGGGTTTTCCCGCTACTAGCTACTGAGGGAATGTCTTTTGAAAGAGGCTTTCATGATCTGCGACTCGGACAGGTTTCCTCAAATGAGATTACTGAGACTCTGCCCGGGGGTTCGTGTGAATGAGAACGACTGCGTCGACATTTACTGCGGAATGTGGTGACATGTGAGTGATAGGTGTATGTGGTAAAGAGTGACTTCCTATTTGTCCCATTTCATGCGACCAATCAGCAAACTCATCAGGATCATCAACAAAACACTTTAACTCACAATCTTACCACTCACCTCACTACGTCATGGCTTCCATCCAAAGGCTCTTACGCTCATCAGTCATCCAGCCAACGATCAGATTGACTCCTCAAACCCCAAGTCTAGTTCGGAGCCAATTTGTCACTCTTCAAGCCTTGAGGTCTTCTCAGCGAGGTTGGTGTCTTCTTGATGATTTGAATGCGATCATATGGAAATCATTTTGCATCATCAGAAGCTGAGAACTGTGACTTGGTTTTCAACTCGCGCGTCTCAACGAAAAAATAGCTTATTCGGCTGGTCATGCTCCTGAAGAGACTTACCCGGTTTTCAACGAACGATACACACAATTCTTTGATGGAGTGGAAGACTTGTTCGAGGTATGTAGGATGTTACCTTATCATTCATCGATGAGGAGGGAAAAGAGAGCTGTCGATGGTTCATATGGTTGGATCGAATTGATTGACTTGAGTTTTCTCCCTACTGGCTTTTGATACGGGTTTAGCTTCAACGAGGACTTAACAACTGTTTTGCTTATGATCTTGTTCCGGCCGTACCCACGATCGAAGCTGCCCTCAAGGTGAGCTGCTTTCTATCCGATGTGGTAAATAGTCGGACCATCAATTGATATCTTTCCTCGACAGGCGGCTCGACGAGTCAATGACTTGCCAACGGCAATTCGAATTTTCGAAGGACTAAAAGAAAAGGTCAATACCATGGTCATCCAAGTCTCTTCATATATGGTCAACTGAAGTTTTTTTCTTGGATTTGAATCGTAGGTTGAGAACAAGACACAGTACCAGGCTTATCTAGATGAGCTCAAGGTTCTTAAAGAAGAATTAGGGGTGCCAACAAAGGAAGAGCTTTACGGTCAAACTCTTTAGTAGGATCTTTCATCGCTCCCGATTTGTGCTGCATTCTTTTGATATCATCACATATAGAAATACACAAAATTCGACACAGCATGTGTAAATTTCTTCTATTGCCGAAGCTTGACGCTCTTCATGATTAGATTATTAGTGTGCCTCGATCGAAGCATGGCTACCAAGTTGGTGAAGAGACGCCGTACGTTCGTCAGAGTTGTACGTACAAAAGCTAGTCAGACCAATTCATTTCATCATCATCAAAGTACGAGGAGATCGTGTTCCATCGCTGCAGAAATCTACATGGTTGGATAGCTTGCTCGTATGTGAGCAACAATTTAAGTTCTAGCTAGTATCGTACCTATCCTGGTGACCTGATGTTGAAAAGTTGATCTTGGTTTGCCATCGGTCTAAATATATGGGATGCCCTGTCGCGCTAACCACTTTGCGAATGTTTTGGAGATGTCCTATGATACGCATGTTGATCCAGCTCCTTAAGCTTTGCGAGGACCGACTCCTTATGTTGCTTGCTAATCGAATAGCACACGAGGTAAGTCACTGGCGTTGTCCAAGTAATGAATAACTCAACATATATAACGCTATCCGAAAGAAAGGCGATTTGGCCCACACAAGGCCACGACAACTACCAAGGCGAGTAGTGACAAAAGTCTAGTTTGTACTGAGCTATCGTAGATCGAACTGGTTGATGACTGGAAATGAACGCATCGGTCGACTTGACGGTGTGACTCTTTGATGACCAAATGTAGAAGCAGCTAATCTCCAAGACTTTCTCGCTTGGTGCACGATTCAGCCGGCAAAGTCGATAACACCGTCCCAATGACACTGAGCTTGGCAGCGAACCTTACTCAGCTGGGCGAGAAGAGGTTTCCTATTGGTCAAACTTCGGTTTCCTTGACCTATGTGAATGCACTCTCGCTTTCGATTTTGTCTTTCTGTTTGAACCTGAACATTGTGGTGAATATTTCATACTTACTTCCGACCACTTCATACCATATATCGTACCATATATCCTTGTGAAAAAGGTATTCGGAGCTCGCCTCCTGTCAGTTCCTAATCCTTTTTAATCACAATCACTTTGTTTTAAGTAAACCATTTAGTGCTCCGAGCTGCTCTCGAGAAAGTTACGCTCTCACCCCGGGCGACCTGGTGTTGTCTGTTTGTGGTATGTACTACTCTCGTTTCCTGCCGTCTCATCTTCCTACAATGCTGACGTTCTGATTCTTGAGTGTTTAGGTAAAAGCCGAGATATCTTTGTCTATCTCTCTCTCGAGTCCTGTTTGTATTTCTTTTGTGCTTCAAGCATGCCAATAACGCATTCAACCCTACGATGTGCGGTGAGCAGACTCTGACAGATGTTTCAGTGAGATATGCCCACTCATCTTCATGTTTCGATTTCGTCGTGTGCAGTGTCTAGAAGGGTTTGCATCCATGATCATGGTCTGGTTCTTGGGTGTTTTCATGATGTCTCTATCGACCGCCAAACTGGGCATTCACGGAAGCGCTTACTTGGCCATCTCCGTCGCTCTCGCTGTATTTCTTCTGACCCATATCATGTAAGGGTGTATCATATTGGCAATGGATAAAGTCTCTTGAAGTTAACTGATAATTCCTACTTTGAACGTCTGATTGCAAGTGGTCCCATCTCAGGTGGTCACATCAGCCCAATCGTAACTCTATCTACCTGTATCACCGGTCTTATCTCACCTCTCAAGGCTTTGGCTTACGTGTCTGCTCAAATGACAGGGGCCACCCTCGGAGGCATCTCCCTTGCAATGGCCCTAGGACCACGGGCTGCAGATGTTCAGAGTTATGGCTGTTATTTCAACCCATCACCCAGCTTTGCTTTATCTCACGCATTTTGCTTTGAGTTCATGAGCGCATTGGCCAACATCTCCATGATGTATGGTAAGTGGTCTCATTCAACCCTAATAACATTGAGTGTATTAAACTTTTTATACCGCTCTTTTGAATCATCAGGATACGGTATCAAGGCAGATTCCTCGACTACACAAGGTGGCCCAAAGCTAGCACCGCTTCTTAACGGCATCACTCTCGGGTTAGTCTATTTTCAATCGATCCATTTCCAACTTTTGATTTATCCTGTTTTTTTAGCCTTTTTGTCTTTGCGTCTTCTGGCTTCGCCCCGGAGAACTCTTATCTGGGAACCATAGGTTATCCAACGCGATGCTGGGCCACTTCCATCGGTCGCATGCAATTTTCTCAAAGTAATATCATCTCATCCTTTTTGTGTTGCCGATAATAAAAGCAACGGAAACTCATCATATTTTTTCATTGCATATTCAGATGATTGGATTTATTGGATTCCAAGTAAGCCTTTGATCTCTCTTTCCCCCATTCTGAATCAATCCTCATTGGTACTTCTTATAGGTATTTCTGCTTCCATAGTACATGGACTAGCTTATCGTTTCTTGAACCCTTTTGGCGAGCCACATATGGGTAAGATCTTAGGTCACGAAGAAATTTCCCAAAGTTCACCAAAAGTGGTCATCCAAATGGATGGACCAAGGATCATGCAAGAAGGTGCCCAAGGAAGTGGAAAATGAATCAATCTTTTTCTCATATACAAACTTGAGAATCAATCTTTGGTTTTTCATTCCGTTTAATCAACGTCTCATATCTTCACCTCGAACTCATATATGAATAAACCAATTCTCCACTCATCTCAACCACTTTTAATTCTACAATTCTTAAATGAAAACTCAACATACATGTTTCATAACAAACCCCTTTTCTTTCACATAAATAGATGTATACTCAATTGTGGTTGTTTTTCTTGTTTTGAACCCAATATCTTTTCTTTCTTTTCTACATCTTTTCTATAATTTTTCTTCCCACTATACATAAACATACATAGATTGCGTTCTCAAGTGAAATTTAACACCTTTTTTTTCTTTTTTAACTGTAACTTTGAGTGTTACTTTTGCACACATATATCCTTGTAAAAGTATTTTTATTGACTTTTTTTTGTTCTCTATGTAAGCACAAATTATTTTTATCAAAATTTAAATCAATCAAGTTTCATCATCTCTTCAAAGGAAACTTATTTTTGTTCTATGAGAATTCAACTATCGGTCTTGTATCCATTCTCAAACGTAATCTTTGCGAAGCAAATTTGTTACTCGGTTGAGAATACGAATTGCAATTTGTAAGACTTACCTTACCATGATCATACAGTATATTAGTCAGTCAATAACCACAAGAAGCGCATGCATGAAAGGTGCTGATTTCAGTATCTCTTGCTTTACAAATACATGTATACAGAGCGAATTTTAGCAAACTTCAAAAATGATCTAAAAATGCCATAAAATTAAAAATGATTCATAATCAGAGAGATGATTGAAATTGGACACAAAAAGTGGTTTTGAGTTTGGGATAATGCTATTGTGCTTTGCAGAAAAAATGAGAAGAGAGATCTTTAGTTTTTTGTATCGTATAAATAATGAAATAAAAACAAATGAAATGACAATGTCTGTTGTTTTAAATCAAACATATACAAAACAATAAATGGGTGTACAATTGTTTTTTGTTTTTGGAAAAAATGTTGAGGATGCTAAACTAGCAATTCAAAAATGAAATAAAAGATGCAATTGTGATTGTTCCCCGCCCTACTTAATACATGTAAAATGCCAAGGATAGATTTGATGATAGTCTTGATGGCATCAAAGACGGCTCTTCAACGGTTGTAATGTGTTTTTGTATGTCTTTTCGCATTTGAACTAGTCGTGAATCGTTTGGAACAGGAATGGAATTCGCATGCAAATGGCCTTACACCGTCATGTGCCACAGCTGTCATATCAAGAGAGTAAAGAAATGAGTCGATCAGTGATTTGTTGAACGACATGTTTACATAAAGAGATATTAAAGCGTGATTGGAATGGATGAGTGGACTGGAGGCAATACACATCATAGCGCACTATTTGCCACATATAAAAAGATTGAAAGGTTTTGCGAAGATAAGGGGGATAGAAGGTGACTTAGACTAACTTTGATGTTGTGACAGACTAGCTTGTCTCGCAAACTCTCGCCCGCAGATCTTACAGGTACTGTGATCATCATACCAGCTCGTCAGTTAGCTGACTTCGACATGGATCTTGAAACAAAGAGAAATTGAACTGGTACTCAACAAGTACGAGCCAGACGGTCCTTGAGCTTTCGTATTTGTTTTCTTTGCAGGTCTAATCAGTTCCGACTCTGCTGATCGTTTCATGCTCTCCCTCCTGTATGCTTGTCCGGCCATTGGCTCGAAGTTTTCATCTGTTCGTCAAGCAGCAATCTTTCTTCAGAGCTTGCCGATTGTTAGAAATAAATTTAAGAGACGGAATGGACTTACAGTGCAGGCCAGGTGTGAAGGTAGGCGGCGGAGGGCCGGGCGGCGGTGTTAGTTGCGTATTCACATATGTTGGAAGCCCATATGTGAAAGGGAGGTTGAGCTGAGAAGCCTGGCATGGCTCAATTGGCGGTGTAGATTTTGATATCGGTTGTTGAGGTGGAAGAAGTGATTGAAAATCCACAGGAGGTAGCGAATAATCTTGTGGAAATGATGAACTAATCAACGTTCCAAAATCTCGAGGGCAAGGCGTCTCGAAGAAAGACGTAGAAGGTAGTAGCGCCGGGAGCAATGATTCAAGATCGAGATCAAAATCTTGATAACCAAGCACAGGCACCGGCATTGCCAATTGCGAGGGATCTGGCGGTGAAGCGTAGGTAGTGTAGCCTTGTAGGAAGTCAAATGGAGATGAACCTGAGTCGGTCATATTGGTGTAAGTTTAACCTTTGGTGATGATAAGGTGGTTTAGGATGATTCGCTTCAAAAAGACAAAGTAGCTATGTCAATGAGTTGATTTATATGTGGACGATGCTGATGGAAAGCAGCGAGGATAGTTGAGTGTGTTTATATGCGAATTAGTGAATTACCTTTGACGGTCAACAGCTATTTTTTTTATTTATCGATTGATGACGACACTTGGCTTTTGAGACTTTGATGTGATCAGTTTTGTTGCGATGTGAAGCTTTTTCAAAGAATCGCCCTATTTTCGGTTAGCGGCCGAACAGTCAATATTTGCCGAAATAAACCCTGGGACTCACGCACTTTATAGCCTTTTTCGTGCCGTGAATTAGAGGAAGAGAAAGAGTGCCTTCACAGCCTGATGCCCCGCTTTGGTTCCACCATTTCCCGCCCGACATCATGTGACATTGGGGATGGCGGAAACCAAACATTGGACATTTGTCTGTCTGAAAGGGCTGTCAGGTCGGCGAAACGCGCGGGGGAACTGGCAAGTGCCCCTCAACTTTTCGCTGAGACCCAGGATATGCCCATGACATACTGTTACTGTGTACATACATATCTACAATCCAAGCCCAACTGGGTTCCTCCACTTTTGATGAGCATGTGCCTGCGATGTGTTCTGTGTAGGAAAGTTCTGCACATATACTTCCCACCGTGTCCAAACCACAGCATCATTGTTTTTATGCATTGCTTCAAGTGCCTCCTGAGCCGTAGGCTATCAGACACTGTAACTAATTGTGCTCCGGTCCGGTAAAACCCCTGTGGGGAACAGGACGCGTGCTGGCTGTTTAAAGCACCAATAATTCGACAGGGGGGATGTGAATGTTTTGAGGAGCTTTCTCTTCGGTTATGGCGGACCAAACCCAACGGTTTTCCAGTCGCCAAGTCGAGTTGCTGAATTTAGCGATACACTCGAACGCTTTCGGGTTCATATGGCACATTACATACATTGGCGTGCCATTTGTTATCAAGAATGGAGGCTGCTGTTCATCACAAACATATGATACCCTGTCTCAACCTCCAGCATATGTTATTAGATAACCCGGGAACAGCCGGAAACACCCTTCTGTGTCTCTCCAGGGACGGGCTCATCCCGAGAAGGCCGATCCAAACAAATTTAAATATGTCAGACATCTGTGACTCGCATCCCAACTTGCAATTGTGTTTCGATGAGCGGAATGATGAGTCAAGACCCGAGTTCTTGTGAGTTTACTGATGCTCTTTAATCCGAAAGACCTTTGATAACGCTCCAGCTGAAGTCAGGTTTGAGACACCGCATTCGTCCACAATTCCAGTTGGCCAATTTTGGACATTCCAGACGCATTTTCGTCAATTGGGCGCTTTGTGGCCTGGGCGTAGATCACGTTGACAGCCAGGCTCGACGCTCCAAGACTCCGAGTCCCATGATAGCCAACTTGGCTATCATGGGACTCAGCCCCGGAGTCGAAATTGCGGATCCAATTGGTTTCCAAGGTTTGCCTGTTTCCCCGCCGTAATTTGACTAAGTAATTTGCCAAGACTCGTATTTACAAGCAAGTTGTAACTTGTGGGATCGCAAACTTGGTGCCGCGTATGCGGCCCTCCGTGGCCTCCTTGCGACACAGCACATGGACATGGAATGTCATTTGGTGTACAGCAGCTCAAGTTTGATGCTGTTTGGTCCAAGCTATGTAAGCTTAACAAAGCCTGTCACGGGCGCGTTTGCCGCGTCCTCGAAGAGGGGCTTAGGACAGACTCATTTTTTTTGGCGGGGGAGCTCTTAAGATAATTAAGTCCACTTCTTTACTTTTGTCAAATTTTCCCTTGGCACCTCTTCACAAATCTACATATTTTGGTGTGCATTTCATGTGAAAGAGGACACTCTGGACAACTTGAGCGCTGTGCAAAAACTGGGGTTCAAAATCAGAATACTTCCTCACAATGTGAACAAACAAATGGGGTGCCAAATTATGCAGCAAGATGTGGAGATCAACATATCTAATTTCTGGACCTTTTTGTGGAGAGGGGAAGTTGAGAAGTCAAAAAAAGGACCTAAGGAGACTTCACTCTTGAAGCTCCCCAGCCAAAAAACTTGAGTAAAGCATCCACAATGGTACCCAGATTGTGCCTAGCTTAACACAATCCCAACCAATTGCAGAGATGTCCCTTGGAACCTGTAGAGGGGGGTCTTGCCATTTAAATGTATTCCAAAGCCTGATAGGATTTTTGCTTTGGCATTGACTATCTCTAGACATCATTCTCACTGTCTCACACAATCCAGAACTTTGAGGTGCTCTTGTGAAATACAAAAGGCAAATTTTTCTGATTCTTTTGCCCACTTCAGATTCTTCTGAGATGCTCCAAAATCCAACAATCAGGCAGATTGGTGATTTGAAAAATTGAGATATTTACACACAAATCTGCTACAACTACACATAAATAATGTTCATTTGTTTGAATCAGTTCATGAGAGCCACTTTTCACCGCAGTTGTGTGATAAAGGCTCTTGAAAGTCACATTCTTGGGTATGCATTTCAAGCCAATGTCTTTCCATGGATGATGTGTTGTCATATGAGTTATGTGAACAAGATGAAGGAGAGTATTCCGGCCAACTCATAATTCTAGAAAGAGTGCATGTTGTAAACTAAGAGTCTTTGAAGGATAAAGACTCCAAAACAGTCAAGAAATTGGATTCTTGCATTCTTATCAAGCAGGAATATGTGTTTAAGTCGTAAGTTCCTCCTCCACAGGCTCCAGAGGATGTCTGTGCTTTGAGGAGGGACTTAGTTAAGTTAGTGATTGTGCGGGCTCTTGACAATGTAGGGGTCAAAACGCAAAAGACCGCTACAGCGGATGTCAAACCCAAGGTGAGATGGCAAGAGCCCGCAGATTTTGAGAGGAGCTCTCCACATCAATCCACATGGCAATTACACAACATCTGTACAACCAAATATTGCAAAAACAACTGCATCACTCCTTCAATATCTTCATTGGTAGTTGGAACACATTTTAACTAACAGGAATTGGAGGCAGGCAAGGTGGCTTTGAAAGACAAGCTAGGTTTTTATGAAAATCATGTCTCCTCATTTTGAAGAAGAATCTTACTGACTCATGGTTTTTAGTACAGCAGCTCTTTTATGTTGCTCTTTGCCTTCTTCATAAAAACAGTGGTGTGGTAATTTCTTCTCTCTCATCTTCACAAATTTCATTATATTATGTTGTATCATCTATATTTGTTATCAGTTTTTGGCTTTTAAAATTTCCCTCGCAAGAATTTTTAATGGTTTAAGATCAAGTAAAAATTTATACCCACTGCCCCTTCCATTTTCACTATATATAGAAGTATTTATCTTATCACCATCACACCGGGCTTTTGCTTTGTTACAATTTCGAGTTGGAACCTCTGTGGCCTTCCTGTGTCAATTAGCAGTGTTGTAACAAAAACACGCCAAACACTATTGCTCAAGCATATCAATTTGTTCAACCAATTTTTGCCCCTCAACTTTAGGTGAACCACTGTGTACTCATTGGTTTTTTGACACCCTACATCCAAAAACCTATATTGACGGTCTGTTTCAGAGCTTGCACAATACAACCATATATTCTCAAGTACTCTCCGGATCATTCTTCTCCTGACTATTTACTGATATATCTGTTGTGTGATTTGATAAGAAATGTGAGATTCCGATAGAGTCGCCCTATCGGTAATTATGCTCATGTGCCGGTGATAGAAGACGATCGGCCGCATAATCGAGCTTCACGGCGCATCCATAAGCAAAATTGGTTGACTTGCCCGATGCACACATAATTATTTGGAAGGATGTCACGTGCTATATTGTCACAGTGTTGGTAACCTTAATTTAGACACTTTGACTGAAGCGGTTGGAAGTGACGCTAATGAACAGATGATGCGTTGCAATGCACATCGGCGAGCGTGGATTCACTTCCAGAGCCGCGATTGAAGTCCCGAGAAAGGATGGAATTATCATAGTGCTATATCTTGCAACGAAGATTTACAAATCGATCACCATGGTGCGGTCGTTCGAAAACTCGTTTTTCACGGTTGAAAGTAGCGAAACTGTGTGATTGTTGAAAGTTACTGTATATTTTGAGCATACTACTCATTGCAGTCAAGCCTACCGGAAAGGATTCATGTATGAATTTGAAGCTCAAGCACAAAGAGAATGCAAACAGTGTTCAGGCAACTGAGCTGATCCTGAACGATATCAAGCGGACGACAGTCACCCACTTTGAGAGAAGCCAACCCCCCGACATAAGCTCCTTCTGAAGCTGCCACTCTTTCTGTCATCACAAAGAGTGTTTTAGTTACTCTGGCTGATTGGATCCTCGAGCTGGCCGCTCAACTGAAGCTCTCTATGAGTCGCAATCAGATCATTTTTGGCTAAACGCCAAAGTAGTTTACTCAAAGAAATCATCATCATCCGACGTTAAACTTATACCAATACAAAAAGCTTTTGAACTCAAACTTACATTTTCGATCATGTTACTTCGACTATCTTTTGGATTATTGCTCATCATGCGCTGGAGCGCCTGGTGCCGTAATTTCACCGAACTTAGTCAGTGATAGGTTCTAAAATTTTGCTCATCTCAACTTGGCAAACTGCCCCAAGGGCTGACGGTGACTGTGAACCTATCCTTTCCACAGACTCTATTGAAAAAAAACCTAATATTGAACCAAAGCAACCAACCAAGCCATGTTACTTGATAGGTGATCGCCCGCTGCCAAAGAGGACAAAGATTCCAGAGAATGTCACTTGCAGCTATCAAGTCAGTTTGTTTTCAGATTCGCTTCTGATGGAAATCATAGGCTGATCCATGATGACATGATGGATTTATTTTCAAATAACGTACAGGATCTAGTTCTTTCACCTATTCCTAACCTAGTTAAAGATGGCGTGACGTTGGTATGTGGTTTTGTAGCTGTTGGAATCAAACCTCGCAAGATATCGAATATTTTGATTTGACATACTCTTCTTGCCTTCGAATCTCGTTCATATATATATAGTCTTCTATCAATCCTTTATCAGCTCCAGACTCCGTCCAATTTCATGATGCCTTGAGGAGGTTTGTGCCCAGAAGTCGAAACATCGAAGAAGACTCTCGATATCTCAATGCTTCACTACAAATTTATCAGGCTCTGAGCCTTGCGTGTTGGAGCATTGGTGGGAAGGAATTTGATTATTACCGTCAGCTTTTAAAACCGTGCGTTAAGTTTGATTATTGATACAAGTTCGAATGTCTTCAGCCTCGGACTCGTAGACTTCACGAACTCTCGGAAGTCTGTCTTTATGAATGGTGCACTGAGATTCTCTTCACACAGACCAGCAGCCTTATTAGAAATCTTGATTGCTAGGATGAATCGTGATACGAAGAAGATCGAACACTCGTTGCAAAAGGTAAGCTATATTTTCGAAATTTTGCAACTCAAGAGAGCTCTTGGAGCACTCTCAAAAGCATTCGGAGTAGTATATTGACGTATCTCATATTCCATCTTCACCTACCAATGCCATACAGCTCCTCAAAACCTGTGGTGCATGTTCATCACAAGACAAATATGAGGTTATCCTCTTGGCGGCAACAGCTGGAGTAGATCCAAATCTTTATATTCCAAAGGTAAAAGGACTTGAATGCAAGGACCTCGCAGAATGTATTCAAGATGCAGCCAAAGAGCAGATCTTCTTAGCCAAGGCTGGTTCGACTGTTCATTCAAGGAGAGTACTGTCTACCCGAATATTGATTTTGGGATACGTAGTTTCTATACTTGCTATTGCTTAGGAATATCAATTCAAGCTTATCAAAATCAAGTTGAGACAGACCAGGAGTCTAAGAAGGGAAGAAACATTTGATTCCCAACAACGCATGTTCAGACTACTTCTTCTTATATCTTTTGCTGCGGAACCTGAGAGCTGAGCACTATCCGACTCCCGTAAGCTATGATCCCTTGCCCCCTTACACTCGCTGGGAATTTGTGAGAAATAAGGTCAATTTTGATATGCAAGCATATCATCCATCCCATTTCATAAAATCTCTCCAAAAGATTTCTTACAAGTGTGGGCTTTTTTGTTTGAAACTTGTTCTTGCATCCAGAGTTGATTTTGCATAGAATCTCAAAGACAGGGGAGGCATATTTACATCAAACTGCTCACATGCAAAGACTGTGAAATCAGATCACGCTTCAGCCTATTCCCAATTGATTTTTTTTAACGTACCCATCCTGACAGACTTGAATAACATTATTGAGATTAAAACAGCTCAATAGAGCGCATCATTGGAATTCTATGATGAGCTGAAGAGCTTGGCAGCTAAGCACGCAAAGATATTCATACACCAAATAGCGCAGGTCAGACAGCTACCTGAGCCATTCTTAGAGAATTGATATGTTACTGGATTGAACAGTATGGTGTGCATTGGAAAGGTAAGTTGATCCCGATCAGGGTGCTGAGATGGCCAAATTTTATCAACACATGAATCAAAATTGATGTGTTCCAACCAACTTTGACAGAAAACAAAAAGGCACAAGGATAAGCACCAGGGTTTGTGATCTGCTCACAATCTTTGATGCAAAAATGGGCAGGAAGTAATGTGTTGAATCCATTGCTAGGAGGATGCAAAGTCTTCATATAGACAAACATCATACACTGAGGATTGGAATAGGAAACTATGATATAAAGTGGTACAACATAAGGTGATTTATGAACCAATCACAGACTTGAAGCAGACCTGGTGAGATGGAAACAAGATTCTACAAGGTCAAAATCCCTCAAAAATGACTGTTGAAGGAAAGAGGTGCCCAAAAACCCTGTTTGTGAAGCTTAAAATTTCTTTGCCAATCCCCTTAATTTGCAGTATGGCACTTTGGTCCCATACTTCTTCTGAACCAATGCTAACATCATCATATGACCCTCAAGTTATGAACTGGAAGTATCTAACATGATGCATACATGTTAAAAATTGATGCAATAGATAACAAGTTCAACCATTGGCTTTGGACAGTTTAAGATTTGTTGATCAGCCAAGTTAGAATCTGGAGCTTATTGAACTTTACATCATATGAAGCTGTGTGGAAATTGCCCCTTCATCTTAAGTGGGTACTCAAACAGTTTGAATTCTTTTCCAAAATAAACTCAGGGATCCACACATCTACATATAGACTTCACTACAAATTGTACCGTAAATGATCTTCACAGAGACCTAACAAAGAAAGGTTCTCAGCCAATACAAAACTCACTTTTACTTTCACCTTTTTTTTCTTTTTCCATTGCTTTGATTTGAAAAAATTGTAAATAAACCAAAAATCTTCAATTGGTTCATTCATTCATTCATTTTAATTTGTTTATTTCAAAAACACATTTTTGAATTTTGTAAACAAAAATCAAAATCAAAATCAAAAGGAAAAAGTGAATAAATTCAAAACCAAATATGATGAAGTATGAAGCTTAAAAAGAACAAAAAGTTTGTAAAATCATCATGATGATGATGATGATGATGAATTTAAAACCTATCATTTTTAGACACTCTCAAACCCAACTTTTTTTTTCATAAAACCCCTATGTAGTTTCAATTTTGTAACCTTATAAAACGTTGCATCACCCCCCACAAAAAAATGTTCATTCAAATTCAATAAGCGAAAAAAAACAAATCATAATAAAAACCCCTTCTTCTTTCCCTTTATAAGCAACTCCAAAACCCCATTGTTCAAAAAGAAAAAAAAATGCAAGAGAATATATAGAATCAGATAGATATGTAAAACCAAAAAAATAAAACATCCCACACCAGAAAAAAAAAAGATACAAAACCTAAACCACACATTGCTTTTTGTCGTTTTTTTGGGGCTTTGAAGGAAGAAACACCTTACTAATTCATTAATCTGAGTAACTGACTATAGAAAAAAAAATCACAACAAGAGCTCAAGAGAAATTAAATCATAATCTTTTCTTCTGCTTCTTCTTTTGCTCTTGATGTGTTTCATCAATCAATCCAATCCAATCAAAACGAAAAAAGAAAAAGAAAAAGAAAAACATAATCAAACATTAAGATTAAACCAAAAAGTGATCCACATTTCTTCTTCTTCTTCAAACTAACTACTATAAAGACTCATTAAATTTCTTTTGAATGTTTGAAATATCAATCATCATTGATCTATCAAACCAATCTTCAAGTCTCAATTTTTGACAATTTCCATTAAATCAAACTCATGCTTCCTAATCTTCTTACAATCCATCGGATTTCCCGCTCCAAATCAATCATTCAAGTTTCGGAGTTTTCGTTCTCGCAACCGGGTCCACCGTCATCCCATATCCAACCACCGAAGGAATAGCACTAGCCGATAAACCATTCGAGCCAGCTCCCAGACTATCTAAAGAAACATCAGCCGAATGATGATGAAGCGCATAATCATCTTCACTCAATCCGGTCCAAGGTTTGGAACCAGGAACCGGGCTAGTGGCTCTCGATTGAACATTCGTCAACGTAGATTTCGCTGGAGATCTATAATCTGAAGTTAATGGGATCGAGGATTGATCTTGAAGATGATGATGATGATGCGAAGAAGTATAAGATCCAAGATCACCTTCTTCAAATCTTCCTTGTCCATAATGCCTCGATCCACCATATCCCATCTCACCATTTTCTAAATCATCTAGGTTTCGTTTGTCTACAGATTGATAAGCTTGAGTTGAATGACTATGACTTGATTCGATTTGTTGATTAAGATTAGTCCAAGATCCATTGGCTCCTTTATGTCCGATCATCCCTCGAAGTCCTGTATGATATCCTTTGGCAATCGATTCTTCTTCTCCTGCATTAGATGCATTCAACATAGGTAAATGTCTTTGATCTTCTGTTAAGAATAAATAAAAAGCTGAAATCGCAAACGATCCACCTGCCACTAAATCAATTAAATAATGATGTCTATTGTTCCACCCAAAAAAAAAGAGAATATCAATCCATCAATCCATCCCCCCCACCACACTTCACCCAGCAGAAAAAAACCATGACGATTTCGACTTGAAAACTTACGTTAAATACATTGTACTCCAATACAAAATAAAAGCATAAGTCCAATAAAGTACTCTCCATCTAGGAAAATAATGTGACAAGAACAAAGCTTCAAGTGTAGCACAACCCGCATGTAAACTAGGAAAGGCACCAAAGACGATCGGTGAGTTTCGAAACGTATTGGTATAACCTTTGGAATGAAACAAATGATCGATCCTAGCTAATCCACCGGCTTCTCCTAAGATATTATAATTCGCTGGTGTGATTCCATGACTTAATTCGTACCCTAGTTGTTTCGATTTCGATTTCGATCAGATTGGAAAAAAAAAGATAGGTTTGGGATTCGATGATTAGCTTTTGGTTGGTTTGGGAGGAGTCATTGAAGGAATCACTTACAAGGAGGAGCACAAGGAAAAAGGATTTGAACAGCTACACCGGCTAAATTCATATACCCAAAAGCTTTACCAAAGAACTTCACCGCACCCGGACCCCCAAAGACGAACAAGAAGATAGCCGTCACAAAGGGTAAAACGAAATGTAAGACACCATACGGTAACCAAGCAATGACATCTAACCAAGGATTCGTATAACGCGTGAGAATATCTGAGATATTGGCACCGTAGAGAACTGATTCCAAGGTAGGTAAGATGGACACCCAAATATGAATCCTGGAACGAAAACTCATGGGAATGTATTTATTGGAAAAGAACATGATCACCCATGTGAAGATCGGAGAAGCTGGTAAGAAGAATTGAGAGGTGAGAGGTACTAGAAGAGCCGTTGAGTAAGCTAGAATGATGAACAGTTTGAAGACTAAAGATGACGGAAAAAACAAACGATCAGTGAACCGATGATCGTCAATGATTTGATTTGATTTGAGGTTCAATGCGAGTTTGCTTACACCAAGGTAGTCCACAGATATATAAACTTAAACCTGCCACACTGATCATGATGAGATATTGAACATCATTCTTCCAATGCCAACGATATGATTTAAGTCGATTAATAGTCTTGGAAGGATCTAAAGAAAGATCTAATCTTTGAGTAGCCGCAACAATTGCATTCCTATCAACCCCGTCCGCGCCGTCCAACCAAAACACAAACAAAACAAAAGACAAGCATTCAAAACCAAAAATCAAAACTTGTTAGATAATTAAATGGAGATTGACTTACAATAATGAAGGAGAGATTCTTGTAGCGAAATTAAATAATCTAGAAAACAATAAATTAAAGTATCGAGAGAATCGACGAGTGGAAGGATGTAAGACCATCTTGATTTGATGTTCTTCAGTTGGTTCTGGTTCTGGTTCTGGTTGGATCCGAGGGTGAGCTTCGGTTTCCACTATCCTCATAATCTGACCTTTGAAGGGAAGGTGAACCACTTTAAAGAGTTTTCTTTGTGATGTTTAAGAAGAAGTGATCTGTTGTAGTGTACAATGCGGTACACAAACCTGAGACCCATCACGAAAACCCATCAAAAAAACCCATGAAAACCCTTCTGATTTTCGGGTTTTTGGCACGGGTTTTCGTGATGGGTTGCCTCGTAACCCTTTGTCCACCTCACCCCTTCAACTTACTATTTCCAATATGCCTAGGATCTCCGCCCGCAGGCAACTCTTATCATCTCTTGACGCCATGATTTTACTTCAAGTATCTCTTCTTGCGTCCACAACCACCATGACTTCACCCACTACCCCCTCTTTCATTCCCAACTTAATCGCTTGTTTGATGATGGTCTCCTTCATGGATCCCGACGACGATGACGAAAAAAACGACCAGTCAGACGATAACATTGGCCATCGAGAACGCAATATCATATTTGCTTACACGGTCTTAATGTTAACCACCATGGAACAGGGGGCCTACATCAACGAACGAAAGCGGAAATTGGAAGAAGACGATTCAATTCTAGAAGTCCTTTTGATGATAAGAGAAGAAGCGCAAAAAAGAAGATACCCTCTTCCCAGACATCGCAGGCCTCGTTGTAGTCGAAAGGCTCAGTGTTTCCAAGATTGGTTTGATGAAACTGATCGTACTTGGATGTCGGTGGTGCGTTCAAGAGATTGATCCGTGAAAAGTAGGGTTTGATTGATCATATTGCTTTCAATACCATCTTAGGCACGCATTCAAAAGGAAGACTTCACCAAGCTTCTCCACCGAATAGGATCGTCTCTTGTGTTTTATAACAATTCGACTTGTGACCAGGATCCAGTCCAGTGGCAGCTACTGGTCACATTGGCAAACTTTGGCTTATCGGGGAATGGAGGCTCCCGTAACGTGAAGGCCAAAATCTTCTCGGTGTCGGGTGAGTCAACGTTAATGTGGGGTAGCAATCTCTCAACTGAGCTTGAACTGACCATGTTTCACGTTGCCCAGAGGGAAGCGTGGACAATTATACTAAGCGTTGCATTACGGCGATCCTTGAACTTGAGGCGGAATATGTACGTTGGCCGAATGCCGAAGAACGAGCTAAAATTAGGACACGCATCGGGAAATCATCTTGGTTTCAACACTGTGTCGGTTTTATCGATGGAACTTTGGTTCCTCTGGCGGCAGCACCCTCCAAAAACAAGGAGGACTACTATACACGAAAGTCCATATACGCATTGAATTCACTTATAATATGCGATGATGAGCGAAGGGTACTCTATGCGCATCATGGTTGGTGCGGAAGTGCACATGATCAACGTGTATTGAAGTCAACTAGTGTGCGTAATCTTGGACTTTCATACATGTTCTAAATCATTCATACTGACTTGAATGATTTAGTTTTATCAGGATATGGCCGCCTTCTTTTCCGAGGGTGAATACATCCTAGCTGACTCGGGATATGCGTCATTGGAGCACATTGTGCCAGTCTTCAAAAGAACTCGATTTCAAGGACTTGCACCGTCACAAAATCACTTCAATAATGCGATTTCCAAGATCCGAATTGCTTCTGAACATTGTAATGGAATGTTACAGATGCGTTTCGGATCCCTCCACGAGCTACGACTAGCTATCAGCAACTCGAAAGATGCAGTCTTTGTATGCGATTGGATCTCGGCTTGTGTGGTGGTACATAATTTTGTTATTGCTGAAGGTTCGCCAATGGCAGGAATGACTTTGGCGAACTCAACTGACTCGGAAGTCGAAGGAAACACTACGGACTTTACGGACTCAGCTCTGAGGAGGGCTGAGTTGGAGTTAGTGGGATCTCAACGCCGGAATGTTCTATTCCGTGCTTATTGTGCTGACAAAGGCTATTGAAGGGGTAAACACAAAATTTAATGTCCAATTCATTGTTTTTTTTAAATCGTTTCACTTTGTCTTTTTTTGTGTGTTTGCTTCTTGTCAAGTTACTTTGGATGTAAATGTGTTAATGACTTAACAAACTCACTGTATGTGCAAGAAGACAATCCAATTTATTCATTTCAATGAAACTTCAAAAAAAATTCTGCGAGTGACATCAGATAGACATTCAACTTTTCTGAGGTACTTGAAATAAAAGATAAGACCAATTTTAAGCTTCATAAGAGAGACATAAACATGTACTTTGTCTCTTGAACAAAAAGAAAATACAAAAATTTTCATCAAGTGAAGCATTTCTCAGACCGTGTTGTTGATCAGCGTATAAGAGAAGAAATTAATTTTTTTGAATTGCACAAGCGCTCTACGAATTTAACTCAAGTCGGAGTGTAGCTAATCAATCGACTTTAAGTCAGTGCATAATGTTCACATTCCACTAGCCTGATGAGATTGTGATCCGGATTGGAGCGACTGTGAGGACTCGACATCGGGTAACTGGCGCGCAGCAAAGGCCTCTGCTGCCTCAGGATCCATTCCCCCTCGTAAAAGTTCCATAATCAAGTTGCCGCGAGCCAGGCGCAATTGCACATTCATCTCCGCGAGTGCAATAGTTTGTTTGGTTGCCAATTCATTTGCTCGATTTGAAGTGATCATGTTGGACATTGCGTTGGTTATGTTAAGGCTGATATTTTGTTGAGCTAACGCCGCTCGACTTTCACTTGCCTCTCGTTCTTCTCTGGTGGGGAGACGATTGAATAGGGCACTCATATTCAATGAGTTTTGAGGTGACTCTTTGCTTTTGACCTCAAAAGCGCTCGGTGACTCCTTAACACGGAGACGCTTGTTGGAACCAACCAAAGGCGTGGCATGTCGGACCGATCTTGTGGAAGCTGAGATACCGGGTGTTCCACGTTCTTGAGATGACGTGTTTTCATCGGCCAAACCAGGGTCGATCGAAAATTCGCGCTCTTGGTGAGGTGGAGTGTCGTCCAATACCGTATAAGGCAAGGTGCTTTCGGTCGGACTAGAGGTGTTCTCGTTGGTTGATTCAGTTAGAGGCTTTGAGCGGTGTACTTGATTACCGAGTGAGTCCTTTGTGGCCAAAGGACGTGCAGATGGACGATCTCGAAATACTGGCTCGAGTTCTTCATACCAAGGACACTCGCGTAAAATCCTGACTGTTAAATACATACAGTCAGTGAGTTTATATCAACCAACCAAATGAAACATCGAGAGTGTGTACCTTGAAGACTGCCACCACCAGGCTCTTCTTTCTTTCGCCTCATAGCCAATTTGAAAGAGTCAACCTCGGCCTTTGACACGGTGAAGTGGAAGAGTTCATCGGAATCATTCCCCTCGCCCGTGGCCTTTCGGAGTCCATCAGCTTTCTGAAACCAACCCTCAAGTTTTTTAATCTGTGTATTTAACTCAAAGTTAGTAAAAACGGAACTTGAATTTTTTGTACTCCGGTGATTGACACTTACCTTTTTTTCACACTCTCGACCTGATCTTGGCGTATGACCCATTTGTACAATGAATGCTGCAACCCTCTCGCGAACAACCACCTGCTTTTGTGTGCGCCATGCGTTGTAGTTCTCGAAAACGCTGCACCAATCGGCCACAAGATCGATGTCGGATTTGCCATCGGTGTCAGGGGTAAACCAGCATTTTTTTGATTCGTTGGCCTCCAACTCTTTGCTCTCATCGTCTCGAGTATCATCTTGAGATTCACATGCAGTTTCATTTTGAGAAGTTTCAGTTTTAGTTGGAGCAGAAACCGGTTGAGATGGTTGAATCAATTTGGATTTTCGGGGAGCTTTTGGTTGAGAAGGTGGTGCTGCTGATGGCTTTCGAGGTCGTCCTCTTTTCTTAGGTGGCTCAGGAGTGATCATCAGTGAATCAGGTTGTTTTGGAGAGGCCTGAGGTGTTACTGGTATGTTGGCTCGTAGTGAAACAAGAGACGATGTGACAGGATTGATGTGGTGAAGATGTAACCAAGCCTCTGGGGAAAGGGTTGGTACTGGGAAAGGAGTTGCTAATTGATCAGCCTGAGAGTTTGTCGGAGTTGGTGTGGGTGTGTTCTGTGGGAGAATGTGGCCTTGTTGCGGTGGTGAGGAAGAAGTAGTTGAGTCCATACTTCCATACTTATGTACAACTCAATAAATTTTTTTCAAGTGGGTATAAGAGCGGACCAAGCTTATTACCCATGAAAAAAACCCGTGCCAAAAACCCTAAAATCAGAAGGGTTTTCATGGGTTTTTTTGATGGGTTTTCGTGATGGGTCTCAGGTTTGTGTACCGCTAATGAATGAGAAATGATCAGTTGGTTGGGTGTTGGATGAATTGGATTGTAGCATTTACTCACCTTGCTTGGGTGTTGTTTTGATTTGAATGTGATTCTCTTCTTCTCTCTTCTCTCTGTTTGGACAATCAAAGTTTCAACTTTCAACTGAATTCACCTGTTCAATCTGTGAACGTTCATCCCGATCGTTCACATCTCTTTCACATGTTTCCTAAAAAGCTTCAAGATCCAATCAACTTCAATTTCAAATCCAATTTCTTTCACTAAAGTCGATTAACAATCAAGATGGTCACATCCATTCATCAACTACCACCCGAATCATTATCTCATATATTCGCTCATTTATCACCCGATGAAATGTTACTCTCTACATTAGTTTGTCAAACTTGGTATGTGATTTGATAACATAATCCAATTCAGATTTCACTAAGATCAAACAGATGGATTGGAATATCTTGATCTGATCTTTCATGTTTTTTTTTTTTTGTTTTAGGTATAATCTTATTAAAGATGATTCGTGTTGGCAGGTACAAACTCTTTTATTTTGATATTCAAACGCCAAGAAAAAACAAATCTTCTATAATCATATCATACGAAAAGAACTGATTATTTTTAGTCAAACTCTTTCAAGAAGAAAAAAAACTAATCAAAATTCTAAACCATTTTTGATATCTTTAATTCATGATGATCAATTTGAACCATATAGGCAGCATTTGAAATTTATTTTAAAATCCAATCATCACAAGAATTTAATCAAACTTTACAGAAATGGGAAACTAATTCAAAACAAACAGAACAAGAAGAAGGACGAATAAGAAGATCTTCAAATCAGTTTACAAGAATTGATCCAACAAGTTGGAAAAATGAATATTTGATTCGGTTTAAACTTTTAAGGTTCATCTATGTAACATCTTTCAAACCTTTCAATTTTTGTTTCTAATCAATATGTTTACTAATCAACATGTTTTCTGGTTTGATTACAGAAAATGGAAGAAATCTAAATTAGGCACGATAACCTATAACCCAAGCATAGGACCGATCACCGAAACCCATCTAAACCATCAAAGCACCGAATCCGAATCCCCAAACTTAACGATCACTTCCCTAAAATCCGGTACGACCATCCGTCTAGATCCATGGACCCGAAAATTAACTTTGCCCAAACTAGAATGTAATCCCACCGATCCCCCAATTCCAGTTCATTTAACAAACCATCTTGATCCGATTTGTTTTTCTTTAAATTCAGAGGGAAATCAGGTCTTTTGGGGTATGAGGAATGGAGAGATTAGGGTTTGTAGATGTGATGAAGTTTCTGGAGGTTCGAGAGTGGATCGGATCGGATCGGATGAAAGTCGTCATACGTTGGCCATCAATTGTTTGAAATCTATTCAAGTGTTTCAAAAACCTACACCGATTCAACTAGAACATCATCGTGAAAATGAATTAAAAGTTGGAACCAAAGCAGAAGTTTATGACTTTCTGGTGTCTTGTTCTTTGATGGGTGATCTTAAGATTTGGACAATTAAGAATGAACCACAAGAATCATCATCAAGTTGTTTAGGAACGGTTTTTTTGAATGATTCAGAAGGATTCAATGGGATTGGAAATCATATAAGTTTTGCAATCACCGAAGATGAAAACTATCATAATATCTTAGTGGTAGGCACTCAAAATGGATCAATTCATCTGTGGACCGGATTACGATTCTTCAATCAAGACTCTACCACCAACATCTTCACAAGTGCTGAAAGTTATCAAATCATTAATCCTATCGAAACTAATTTATTACAATCTATTAATGTTTTAGAAATCGATGGTTCTGGGAAACCTTCTTTATTGGTTCAAAGAGGATCGAATGAATTCTTTGAAAGACATTGGATTTCGAATGACAAAACTCCCCATGAAGGATCAAATGATGATAAGTTTTTAAAGTATGGAAATCAATTCGGTTCATTAAGTTCATTAACTTGTATCCAACAAGATTTCCATCACCACCGGTTTCAAGTTTTTTCAAGGCTCTCAAAGCCAAGTACAAGTATCAAACATCCAAGATGGAATTTAAATTCAAAACGAAACCCAAGATTTCAATCTGATTCAAAACAAAATCAAGCTTCATATCAAGTCGTCTCGGGTGATCGGAATGGGAAAACGTATTTGTGGAGTTGGAGAATGGATGATTTGGATGGGTTGGAGGTTGGATCTTGTATGAAACCTCCATTGATGTGTTTACAAGAGTCAGGTGCATTAGTGACATCCATTTTGATCACACCCATGTTAATTGCAATAGGAGGGTAAGTTTTTTTTTCAAAATCCAAAGCTCATTTTCAAAGACGACTCAAGACTGATCTTTGGATCTCTGTTTCACTCTTTTGATAGGCAAGATGGAATGACTAAAGTATATGATGCTTTAACGGGAGAACTGTTAAGATTGTTTGGTGATAAGAAAACTTGTAAAGAAAGAAGCAGAATGTCACAACGAACAAGTGGTGGTTCGGAAACAGAATTGAATGAGATCCATCAACGGTTTAAGGTTACAACGATCGGATTGGATCATGATTCGATTTTCATTGGGTTGGGTGAATTGATGATGGTTTGGAAGATTGATCGGATTCATCAACCTAAGCCAAAGAAAGGTGAGTTGCGGTTGCGCGTAAAGATAAAAAGGGTTGAGGTGTTGTTGATCTTTGGTTTTGTAGATTTGCGTAGTAAAGTGCCAGGACGGGTGGTGAGTAAACGAATAGGATCATCCAGTAAGTTTTTCTTATTCTTCATTACATTCTATTTTAATCAAGTTGTTCAAGTCTGATTTGTTGATTGAATTGGTGGTGATGAATTAGATTTTCGAGAGATTCAAGATGAAGTGATTGATACTCAAGAGATAGATAGGATTAAATTAGAATCTAAAGAGAAAGAAGAAGAATTGAAAAGAAGATATTATGGAGAGTTTAGTGAATGGATGAATGAAGAAGAATTGATTGAGTATATGAAGATGATTTCGATTGAAGAGAATGGGAATAGAATTGAAGGTGATGAAGAATGGGAAACATGGAAAGAAACAGAAGTAGTAGGAATAGAAGAGAGAGATGGAAGAAGTGATGTAGATGAAAGTAGTTTGGTGATGAGAGCTAGTGGGAGTGGTGACGGTGAGTTTGAAGGGTTGAAGGATGAATTGAATTTAGATGATTGGCCATTGATGATAGAAGGTAGAGGTGCTAGAGAGAGAAGAGGATCGAATGGGAATAGTCCATGGAAGAAGAAGAAGAGATGGATTCAAGTTGATTGAGATGTGTATGAGTGATGATAAGATGTAGTATTAGTATGTATGTAGTTGAGATTGAGATCTGATTGTGTAGATCTGATTGGAATCTGATCTGATGGATGATTTGAATCTTGACTTGATTTTAATTTTAATTTATATGTAATTTAAATTAAACTTAAATTGGATTGGATCGATAGTCCTTGAAAATCGAACAAAAGTCAATATAAAAAGGTGGATTGATCGAGTTTGGAAATAGTTCTTTCAGATTTTTAAAATTCACTTCAAATCCAAATCGAAATCGAAATCCAAAGATAAACTTATCGAATCAACCCACTACCACTACCACTACCACCACTACCATCATCATCATCATCAAATAATAATAGAATGAGTAGTAAATTATTGAATAAACTTAAAACTAAATTACAATCTAAATCCAGTCTTACTAAACCATCCTCAACAGCTTATGAAGATTATCTTAAATCATATTCAAATGTAAATGATAATCTCATTGTCTCTCTGAATCTCAACTTACTAATCTTATCAATGATTTGATGAATTGAATTGAATTTAGGCTGAAATCGATTTAGAAAACCCACCACTTCCACCTGATCATCATTCATCTCATCCTAATCAATTCTTTTCAGCTCCCTTACCTCCATTCGAATCAAAAAGACAAAGAATCATCAATCGATTAGCCTATCATCAATCTTCTCCAGATACTACTTCAGATTCAACTCCCATCACATCTCCTACCAACACTAACTTTTCTTCTTCTCTCTCTTCTCCTTCTACTTCTCATTCTCATGCTTCCTTTGCTTATCTTCAAGATTTATATCTAAGACCTAAGTTAGATTCATTTCATTCTAGTTCGAATACCACCACCACTTCTACTACTACTGCTTTGGATAATTCGATATCCAAACCTATTGAACATCATCTTTCGTTTTCATTGATCGATCATCCCGATCTTCATGCTCTAGTAGAAAAATGTAGGGCTCTCTTTTCGGTGGCTGCTTCAATGGTCTCAGTTGAGTTTTTGGATTTCATACTCTTCAATTCAAGATTTCGAAATCTAACTTGATCTTTGTTTTAGATCTTGGATGATGATCGGAATGTATATCTTGCTGAAAACGGTCTAAATGGAATCACTTCTCTGAGGCGTGATTTAAGTTTTTGTCAGTTTGCTTCACTTTCCTTTACATTTGGTTTCTTGATCGTGTTTCTCAAACTGTAATCTACATTTCAATAGGTTCACATACAATCTTAAATGGAGATCGAGTGTTTGCAGTACTAGATACATCAGCCGATTGGAGATTTACCAATTCACCTACCTTGGAACATCAAGCAGCAAGGTTTTATGCAGGAGCTCCAATCTTTGCACCACATTTTCCAGGTTTAATTGATTCACCACCTGAGAAACCGGTTTGTATTGGAACGATTTGTGTTTTGGATATGAAACCAAGACAAGATTTTACCAAACAAGAAAGAGAAAGCTTATTAAGATTTGCAAATGAATGTCAATTGGTGATTTCGAATTGGTTTTTAGAAAAGATTAATGCCAAGATTAAAAGATTAGATTCGATTAATCTATCGAATTGGGTTACCTCTACAACTTCTAATCATCATCAAACTTCATCAATTAAAAAACCTGACTTGATACCGATTTCGAGTAATTTAGTCAATGTTGAAGAAGTAGAAGAAGTAGAAGATCATCAAAAACCAATACCTACTTTGGATCGAACTAATTCATCAACTAAATCGATTCACGGGTTTCCATTTCTACATCCTTCATCTACATCAATTTACAAGAGCTTTCGAAGTAAGAAATCGATTTCATTCAATACAACTAAATCTACTCGGATCTCTATTCCAGATCGGATTCATCAATCTCCTAAAAAACCTTATGAATCACCTTCACCTTCACAGATGGCTAAATTCGATTTAGCTACCAAGATCTTGGCTGAAACTTTGGAACTTTCAATGGTTTATATTGTAGCTGTTTTACCACTTCCTAAACCTATTGATTCGTTTCATTCAAAGTGTCCATCACATCAAATCTTGGTGATCTCATCACATAATGTTCCAACACCTGCTCCGGTTTTAGATTACGATTTACATCTTGAATCGATTCGAAAGGGCCCAAAAGGATTGATATTCAATACGACACCTACACATCATGTTTTACCATCTATGAAAACCAATGGAACGTTAAAGAGTGATGAGTTTACAAAAGAAGAAGAATGGAATGAAGAACAAGCGTTTGGATATGATCGAAAGTTTGAGAAATGTTTGAGAGAAAGAAGAAGGCATAAGTTGGGAAAAGAGAATGGATTGAAGAAGTCTGGGATCTTGTTGATGATTGGAGAAGAAAAGGAGATGAAAATGTTTAGGGTTTCGGATGAGATTGGGAAAGGGCATTCGAATGTGAAGGCGTGTGGGAATGGGAATGGAATTTCGAATGGGAAATTAGAGTTGGATTTGAAGAGAGAAGAAGAGATTGAAGAAGTTATTGTAGGGCAAGGGGAAAAGGAAAGGGAAAGGGAAAGGGAGATCAAAGGAGGATTTGTGATTGAAGGATATTGTGTGGATCCCACAAGAGTGTTAGGGTTAGATGATTTAGTTTATTTTCAACATTTTTCAAAGGAATTGGAAAAAGATTTGGATTTTTTGTTTGATTGTCATTCGTTTTGAAAACCTGATGAAGATTAAGAAAATGTAAAACAATGAAGATGTAGAACAAGAGAAAAATGGAAAATCAAATAATTTATCAATGATCAAAGTTTTTTAATTTGAAATAAATTGAGATCAAGAAGAAAGACTTTATAGGAAGAAAACAAATCAAGAAATGAAATCAAGTTTGATGAGCTTATGAATCTTATAAATCAATTTAATGTCGAGATTTGAATTATTCTTTTTTTTTGGTTTTTTTTTTCGGGGAGGTGAAGAAGGAAAAAGAAACAAGACACTAGTAATGTAATGTAATGTATTGTATTGTAAAGGAAAGGAAAGGAAAGTCAAATAAATCATATATGAATTTATACATTTCACTTTTTTTTTGTTTTTTTATTAGATCTGTTTTAAATTTTTAATCCAAATCTGTTTTAATTGATTATTGATTAACTAATTTATTAATTTATTTCTTTATGGAATTTATTCATTCATTTATTCATTCATTCCCAGATTCAAGAAGAAAGATTTATAAGAAACTTAATTTGATTTTGATCTTTTTGGAATTTAGAATGTACATGTATGATAATTTGTATGATTATTTAATGTTCTTTTTGGTTTTGAATGAATGAAATAAATTATTAAAGATTTTTTAAGATATTTACTTACAGCCATTCCAATATTTCTTGTCGCTCCGTTTTGAAAAAGAAAAAGCAAAACTCGGTGAAACCTAAGTTTTTACTCGATAAAACTTTGAAATTGGCTGTAATTCAATGAAATACAGCCAATTCTCAGGTTTTAACCAGTTAAAACTTAGGTTTTGAGCTCATAAACTTTTTCTTTTCAAAAATGTGAGCGACAAGAAATATCGGAATGGCTGTATGTTGTGGTAAAGAAATTTTTCTTGATTTTGATGATACATGATCCCTGAATCCCAAACACAGTCTTTCCAGTAGATCACAGTGCTCTGTGTGAGTGGTTGTGTAATATAGAGGTCAAGCAGCTAGGTCAGAAGCTCAAGTGGCAGACCCACCATTTTGTTTGGAAGTGAGATTTAGTGAATTGTCATACATATAATCTCTTGGCCAAGTACTGATCAACTTGAAGGATTTGATGATTTACAACTTTGATCCAACTTGATCACTAGATTTTAATCATTGATTGAGGTTCTGGATGTTTGGATTAATGATTAATGATTTGATTAATGAACGTATTTGAAAAACAACTGAGGTTTGGAAATGGATCATAATCACAGTGCATACAGAGTTGGATTGATTGATAATTTTATAGTCTTCTGACTGATCTTCCAAACAAAACAACTCATCACTCATCAGTAAAAAAAATCAAGAATCATACATAGTGTCTCTAGTGAGTCTTGAAGTTACAACCATGATCCATTGAAATAAAAAGCTTTTTGATCTATTTCTCTTATATGTTTTTGTTTTTTGTTTTTTTGTTTTTTTTCATTGGGATATCTGATCTTCTGTTTCATTCTCATGATTTAAGACTAGCCAAACTCAAACTCAGAATCAAATAACATATATCATGATCCTTTACCTCTGGGATTAATTACACACTCACCTGGATCTCTTGCATAGATCAATGCAAGCTCATGAAATTGAATTGGTAAGTTTTTTTTACCTCCAGTTTACTGTGAGATAGAAACCTCATTGCTTTTTTTCTCTGGGTAAGATCTTGTTGAGTACAAGTACCGTAAGGTCTTGTTGAGTACAAGTACCCATAGATTTTTGGGTCAAGCTTACTGCTTCTGGCCTGTTTTCCTGCCAGGAGGGACCCTTTGAAGGTGACCAGTTCCAAATGATTTTTGCTGTAGGCTGATGGAGTAAGCATTGTCAGTTTTCAAAGCTTCTTGGACCACCTGTGGTATGTACTTACATCATTTCAAACTTTTCATAGTATGGGACTTCCATTTGATCATGCCTAGGAGATTTGGAAATCAGTTCCAAACCTTATTGATCACCTTGAATCACTTTGAAGTATGGTACTCTTTTTAATAGTTTTTGTGTTCTTCCAACACCTCATCAAATTTTCTCCCTGATTACTTTTGATAGTCAAACATTTGTACTTTGTTAATGTTATGCTTGTTCAATTTTTTGTTTAATTTCTGATTCTCAAACCTCAAAGTTGATTTCCTTTAGTCAGTTTCTTTGGGAACCTGAAAAAATATCCTCTGTTTTGGGTTCTAAGATTGTCTTTCTGAGAATCAAAATCACACCTTGGCCATCCTTCTCTTACCTGAAGAATAAATGGATTGAGTCAACTTCTTCCTACCTGTATAGAAAGACCTTGAATGATCAAGACTTGGATAGAACTTAATCTAGTTTGATCTGACTGATCTTGGTCAGAGCTTTGGTCCTTACCTTTTCAAATCCAAGTCATGACTGATTGCTTGACCAATCATAGTCTAATCAAAACTCTGCTTGGTCAAGATACCTCTTGACCTTGACTGATCAAAGTCCAATCAAAACCCTGCTTGGTCAAGACACGGTTAAATCTCTTTCTGGCTTTGGAAATACCATAAGATCAAGCTGGATATCAAGTCAAGATTTGTTACAAATCTTTTCTTGAGGTTTAGGATCTGTCTTGACATCTGACCAAGACAAGGGAGATACTGATGACATCAGTATCTCCTTGTATGTGAAACTTGAAGAAAAATGACTTGGTATCACATCACTTATGATGTGGAACATCCTTTTAAGGCATGTCCTGACATGGATATCTAATACAAGTATATCTAGTGACAAATCATGACATCTCAAGATGTGTTGGATCACCCATGAGAGTGTAGTAACAAGAAGAAAAATGTGGAAATGTTGATCTTAGAGGAAAAAGATGTTGATCTTGAATGAAGGATTAAAGGAAATCTCATGCGGGGGTGACACTGGAAGGATGGATACATTGAGGTTAATGAAGCTGATAAAAATTCAGAAACAGTCTTTGATTAGCAGGTTAATATATATATATATATACTGATGAACAATCAAACAGTTCTGGAACTTGCACTAAGGATCCAATCAACATCAATAATAACAACTTAAGCCCAATATCTGTGTGCTATGTACAGTCAAACCCCTCTAAAGCAGTACCCCTCTAAAGCCTTAACCTGTCTATAGTGATGGTTTTTTGATTCTCCCAAGTTGGGAGGGGCCAGGACCCTGGAATGCGCCTACAGAGGGTAGTGACGAAGCCCGATTTTCAGTTTTTGGGCTTTACGCTACACACCACTCATTCTCCCACGCTCCCAAGCACTTCAAAAGATGCGCATGGAATAGGGCTATCAGATGAGCTCGGTCTGACCCCTGTAGCTTGCTTCACTGCGGCGTAAATCGCAAAGGTGCAAAAAAATTTTGGGCCGCCAAGGCCCAATTCCGACCTTCGATTCTGGCTAGTTTTGGGCTTTACACTTGAATATCTCAGGAAGTATCGGTGCTATGGGGTTAAAAGTTAGTTCATATGAAAGCTCTGCTTCTTGCGCTTCTTTTGCGCTCCTGTAGCAAACTAGAAGTGTGATTTTGTACCCAAAAAATCTGTTACAAAAAGGTCGGAATCTACGTCACTAACCTCCGTACGTGCATTCCAGGGTCCTGAGGGGCCAAAATTTGCAAAAAAACCCATAGTTCCGTCTAACCCCTTAACCCATGCCCAGAATCCAAAAAAAACAATCTTTTCAATGTAAAGCCATAGAAAAATGGCCAATAGGGAGGTAGGAAAGGGGATACCTCCAACAGCTTCTGAAGCTTTGAAGGCAGTATCTTTGCTTATACAATTCATTGAAAGTACTGATATGCCCAAAGCAACAGCTGTTGACCCCCTTCTCCCTGCTCTTGAAAGCGCATTACCAGCAAGACCTATTTTGCCAACGAAATTCAGCCCTCCATCACTTTCTCCTTCAGTAGAAAATTAAACAAATCTTGTGATGTAGTTACAATTTTAAATGTATTCTTCTCACAAAAAATTAACACGGCAGATACTGAAATATTTGATAGCAAGTTAGACTTTTTCAACAACAAGACCCATATAAAGTCCTTTTTTCTATGGCTGTAGGCAACATGCAAACCATCGCGCAGAGGACTGCGACATCACTGTGGTCGTGTTGTGGTCGAAGTGGCCCAAACCATCCCTGCGGTACAGCCGGGCCGCCGTGTTGGGTTCACTGCGGTTGCACCGGGCCGCAATCACAGTGAGGAGACCGCAGGGATAAGGCTATTTGACATATGTCCTTTGTATCAAAATACAAGTCCTTCGCATCTTATTTCAGCTAATATTGATTTGATATGCTCTTTTTAACCAATAAGTATGTGCCAGGTGCGAGCTTGTGTCATCTTTGTAGGCATCTTGTTGCTTTGACAGCGGCCAGCGACCAGCTACAATTCCGCCCGCTGCGACAGCGCGCGGCGATTTTTTCAGCCGCGCCGCCTTTGCAATCCAATGTTTAATCACTGCAACGACGCTGCGATAGGTTTGTCATGACGCTGCGGTGAATCGCCGCGCTATTGTTGTGAAGGTGGTGCGGCGGCACGCTGTGCGGCGTTTGCGTGTTGCTGTAGGGGGACCACCCTCTAAAGCCATGTTTCCATGTTTTTAGAGGGATATGTTCCTAACCTAACTAAGTCCCTCTCGGACACACAAGTAGTCAAGAGAGGGACTTATAGCTTATCCACGAAATTTGGTGTGTGAGCCTGTGGACCTTTGGCTGGGGCAATTTTCAAATCAAGACACTGCATTATCTTGTTTACAAAACTCCTCTGGAGCCAAGAAACAATTTGTGCTGTGAATCATCCTACATACACCTGTGCCGGTATCAGCCTGCCAAACCAAATGGCTATCAATCTATTCAAGATCAATGTTTTGGATAATTTCCATCCTCTGTAATTCGCTGCGGAGGTTTCAGAGAGTAATTTACTCCTGTCTTTGAGAAACTCTCAACCACACTCAAAGTTTAAAGGAAAGAGGAGTTTTTCAAGCAATGTTTTGATGACCTTCCTGGGGGTAAGTCTCTATCTAAAAAAACCGTGTATGTAGAATGATTCACAGAATAATTCATTTCTTGGCTCCGGGGGATTTTTGTAAGCAAGATAATGCAGTGTGTTAGTTTGAAAAATGCTCCAGCCAAAGGTCCACAGGCTCACACGCCAAATTTCATGGATAAGCTGTAAGTCCCTCTCTCGACTACTCGTTCGTCCGAGAGGGACTTAGTTAGGTTAGGATATGTTCTATGGTTGTGGAATGTCCACCCTCTAAAGCCATGGTTTTCATATATTTAGAGGGTTTTCAATGTAAAGCCGTGAATGTATGTCTATAGAGGGGTTCCTCAACAAAGACATAGCCCCTCTATACCCATAGGTTTCCCCTTCTCCCAAGGGGTATGGCTTTAGACGGGTTTGACTGTATAGACGTAAGTGAATGAGAGCCCCTGTAAATGTTTCCCAAGTTTTTGTCATGATCAAGCCTACTTTTTCTGAAGTTTGGGTTTGGTTGAGGCTTTGAGTACTTTGGAAGTAAGATTTGAGAACACTGAATGGCTTTTCAATTGGGTTTAAATCTTTTGAGTAAGGTGGCAGATAATTTGATCATATACCTTTCTTGGCAATTAGTTCAGCAATATTACCACCATGATGGATTTGGCAATTGTCCATGACCAA